ATGATGATGATGATGATGATGCTGATGATGAGGATGAGGAGGAGGAGGAGGGAGGGATGAGGAGGAAGAGAGGGAGGAGGAGGAGGAGGAGGAGCGAGGAGGATGAGGAGGAGGAGGATGAGGAGGGGGAGGAGGAGGAGGATGAGAACAAGGAGGATGAGGCGGAGGAGGAGGAGGAGGAGGACACGACGGAGGAGGAGGAGGAGGAGGATGAGGAGGAAGAGGAGGAGGAGGAGGAGGGGGAGGAGGAGGAGGGGAGGAGGAGGATGAGGAGGAGGAGGAGGAGGAGGAGGAGGAGGAGGATGAGGGAGGAGGAAGAGAAGGAGGAGGAGAAGAGGAAGGCGGAGGAGGAGGAGGAGGAGGAAGACGTGGAGGATGAGAATGAGGAGGAGGATGGTGATGAGGAGGAGGAGGAGGAGCGAGCAGGAGGAGCGATGATGATGATGCTGATGATGATGCTGATGATAATGATGATGATGATGTTGGCGATGTTGCTGATGATGACGATGAGGATGCTGATGCTGATGATGATGATGATGGTGATGACGATGATGCTGCTGAGTATGATGCTGATGCTGCTGATGATGATGGCGATGCTGATTATGCTGATGTCGCTGATGAAGTTGATGATGTGATGATGAAGATGATGATGCTGCTGCTGCTGATGATGATGATGATGATGATGATGATGATGACGATGCTGATGCTGACGACGATGTTGCTGCTGCTGACGATGATGATTTTGATGATGCTGAGGATTGCGGGGATGATGATGAGTATGATGATGATCATCGTGATGCTGCTGCTGATGATGTTGATGATGACGATGATGAGGCTGATGATGATGCTGATGATAATGATGATGATGATGATGGCGATGTTGCTGATGATGACGATGAGGATGCTGATGCTGATGATGATGATGCTGATGATGCTGATGCTGCTGCTGATGATGCTGCTGCTGATGATGCTGCCGATGATGCTGCTGAGTATGATGCTGATGCTGCTGATGATGATGGCGATGCTGATTATGCTGATGTCGCTGATGAAGTTGATGATGTGATGATGAAGATGATGATGCTGCTGCTGCTGATGATGATGATGATGACGATGCTGATGCTGACGACGATGTTGCTGCTGCTGACGATGATGATTTTGATGATGCTGAGGATTGCGGGGATGATGCTGAGTATGATGATGATCATCGTGATGCTTCTGCTGATGATGTTGATGATGACGATGATGATGCTGACGATGATGCTGATGATGCCGATGATGATGCTGATGATGCTGATGCTGACGATGCTGATGATGATGCTGCTGATGATGATGGCGCTGCCGCTGCTGATGCTGCCGCTGATGTTGATGATGATTATGTTTATGATGATTATGTTGACGATGATGATGCTGAGGATGATGATGCTGATAATGCTGATGCTGCTGCTGTTGATGATGATGATGCTGATGGTGGTGATGATGATGCGGATGTTGCTGATGATGATGATGCTGATGCTGATGCTGCTGATGATGATGTTGATGATGCCGATGTTGATGATGACGATGATAATGATGATGATGCTGATGCTGGTGATGATGATGCTGATGATGCTGATGATGATGCTGATGTTGATGATGATGCTGCTGATGATGATGATGATGCTGATGCTGATGCTGATGATGCCGATGCTGATGTTGATTATGATGATGGTGATGACGATGATGATGATGCTGATGCTGATGGTGATGATGCTGATGATGATGAGGATGATGATGAGATGATGATGCTGCTGCTGATGATTATGATGCTGATGCTGATGATGATGCTGATGATGATGCTGATGGTGGTGGTGGTGGTGGTGGTGGTGAGGAGGAGGAGGATTAGGAGGAGGAGGAGGAGGAGGTGGTGGTGGTGGTGGTGATGGTGGTGGTGGGGAGGAGGAGGAGGAGGGGGGAGGAGGAGGAGGAGGAGGGAGGAGGAGGAGGAGGGGGAGGAGGAGGAGGAGGGGGAGATGGGAGGGCGAGGAGCGATGAGCGAGGAGGAGGAGGATGAGGAGGAGGAGAGCGAGTAGAGCGAGGAGCAGCAGAAGGAGGAGGAAGTGGAGGAGGTGGAGGAGGAGGAGGAGGAGCGAGGAGCGAGGAGGAGGAGGAGGAGGAGGAGGAGGATCATGAGGATGAGGAGGACGAGGAGGAGGAGGAGGAGGAGGAGGAGGACCGAGGAACGTGGAGCGAGTAGCGAGGAAGAGGAGCAGGAGGAGGAAGAGGAGGAGGAGGAGGAGGAGGAGGAGGAGGAGGAGCAGGAGCGAGGAACGAGGAGCGAGGAGGAGGAAGTGGAAGAGGAGGAGGAGGAGGAGGAGCGAGGAACGAAGAGGAAGAGCGATAGGGAGTAAGAGGATGGAGACAGAGGCGGAGGAGGAGGAGGAAGAGGGTTGAGGAGCGAGGAGGAGGAAGAGGAGGAGGAGGAGGAGGACGAGGAGGAGGACGAGGAGGAGCGGGAGCAAGGAGGATGAGAAGGAGCAGCGAGGAGGAAGAGGATGAGGAGGAATAGGAGAAGAAGAAAGAGGAGGAACGGCATGAGCGAGGAGCGAGGAGCGAGGGAGAGGATGTTGATGGGGAGGCGGGTGGAAAAGGCCGAGGACCGAGGGCTCAGGACCGAGGAGTGGGAGGAGCGAGGAGCGATTAGCGAGGAGGAGGACGAGGATTAGGAGGATGAGGATGAGGAGGAAGAGGAGGCGGAGATGATCGAGGAGCGAGGAGGAGGAGGCGGAGGAGGAGGCGGAAGAGGAAGAGGAAACGGCGGAGGAGGCGGAGGAGTTGGCGGAAGAGGACGGGGAAGACGAACGAGAGCCACAGGACGGCCCAAGGAGGGCCTGGGAGAGACCCAAGATGCTCCCAAGAAACAGTATGTCGTCGTCATCATCATCAACAGTGATTTCATAATGTGCATTCGTGTTTTATCGCGCTATAGTGCCTTCCCAAGATACCAACACGCCTTATGTCCGTACAAGAAAAACATATGACACCAAGATGCCCCAAGCGAGCCTCCAGATGGGGAGGCAGAGAGAAAGAACGGGCAAGCCAGCGACATTTCGCGCTCTGAAATGCGCTTTCCGTCCCCGTGCCAAGCGGGTCTAAAAAATGGCCTTCGGCCCATCCCGCCACCGTGCCTCTGTTGTGTGTCAGAGTTCTCAGGGATGCTTCTTCGGGTCTCTTCGGAGCGCTCTCGGGGGCCTCTTGGGAGCAATTTTGGGTCTCTTGAGAGCTTGTTGGGGCCTCTTGGGGGCCCGTTGGGGCCGATGGCTTGTCCTTTCGGGTTCCCCATCAGGACTCCCTCTTGGGCCGTCTCTTGGCCCTCTTGGGCCGTCTTGGGCGCCTCTTGGCGTCTTGAGGCCTCTTGGGCCGCCTTGGGGCCCTCTTGGGGGCCTCTCGGGGCTGTCTTGGGGCGACCTGGGGGGCACCGTGGGTCGTCTTTGCGCCTCGGGCAGCCGATAAGGCGAGAACGCCCAAATCCTACCTGAGAAAAATTATAGAATTTGCCTCTTGAGGCCATCTTAGAGGCGTCTTGGAAAGTTTTGGGCCTCTTGGACCCTAACAAATCATGAGGGGAGATGCGCTGGATCCCCGACGCGACGCGGCAAGATCCAGTAGATTTGGCAATTTGGGCTCCAGGCCCCTTACGAATCCTCAGGCTTGAGTGATGAGGCTCAGGGGATCACGCAAAGGACCTGAAGACACGCCCGGGGGGTAACAAAGGTGGGTTGGGGCAAAGGTAGGGTTGCACGGAAAATCGCTCCGAAAGGCCCCTGGAATGAGGAAACGCATTAAGCAGGAACATTCATCTGGGCCCGTTCCCCAGCCCCACCTTGGGATAACCCTCCCTCTACGAATCCCGACACGCCCACTCCGTGCCCAGAGGCACGGTGGCGGATTTTTCGGCCTCCGGGGCCTCGGGGCCGTCAGGAAACGACTCAGAATGCAAAGCCCGTCCTGGGGGAGGTGTCGGGTCTTCGGGGACCCCGTACCGAAAGAATCAATGCATCACATATCTGGGTAAGAAGGCGGCGAAGCCTCTAAGACGGCCCCCGGCTTCTGAGACGCCTTCTTAGAATGCTCCATAGCCTTCTGAAAAGGCCCCTGCCTTCTAAGAAGCGCCTTCCGCCTCAGAATGCCGCACCCCTCGCACCCCACGTCTGTGGTCGCCGCCAGCAGGCCAGAGCAGACGGGGTCGGAGCATCGCCAGTGCACCCGCGACGTCTGGACGGGGAGCATCGGACTCCAGATCGCGCCGCATTGCCGCTGCAGCATGGTTTCTCAACCCCCAGCGGCTCCCGCACCACTTGTGAGGCCTGGAAGGGCCCCCGTTGTCGAGGATCAAGCCCCGACGCCCGCTGGTGGGATGTTTCTTCCAGCCCGCGGCCCCAGAGGTCCAGACCGCTTCCCCTGGAGCAGTCTTTCGTCACGGAACCGCTTCTGATGGCCCGGGGGCCCCAAAACCGGCCCCGACGGGCCGAGATCGAGGCCCGTTGGAAAACAGATCGTCGGAGATTTGGCAACGGGTCCTGGAGGAACCGGTTCCTGGACCCCGGAGACGTTTTCCGACGGCTCTCAAGGGCCAGCGGGGCCAGCGGAGGGCCCCTGAGAGCCGACGTCGCGAACACGAGCGCGACATCCCGAGCAGTCACGAGGCATCGATCTGTGATGGTCCCCGGGCCCGACACGGCGCGAAAGCGCCTGGCGTGGAAACATTGCAACGCCCAGATCTCGGGGGAGGGCCGAGATCAAGGAATAGCCGCCCGCTGAAAAACAGATCGCCAGAAACGTAGGACCGCTGCCCCCCGTCGCCGCGCGCCCCTGCGCCCCTCGGTGGCGACGACGACGAGCCACGACGAGTGACGGGCGACGACCTGTGATCCGACGGTCGACGAGCGACGTCGAGCCATGAACGACGAGCGCCCCTCCGCCCCCTGGCGGCCCGCCGCCCAGCCCCCGCGCGCAGCCTGCAGGCGCGCATCTGGACTGGGGCGCGGTCGCACAAGGAGAGCGGCGCCCGTCCCGCCCGTCCCGCGCGCCCGCGTCGTGACAAAATCACGATGGGAGTTTTCCCAACCATCCTGTGGTGTTTGGTCCTCGTTTTGAAGAGACGGTCCCCGCGTCCCTCCTCTCCTCTCCTCTCCTCCCTCCTCCCCCTCCTCCTTCGCAGTTCGCATGGCGGCGCCGCCCCATTCTGACACACCCCTCACGTTTCGTGGCCCCATAGGGAGCTCCATTGAAGGTCCCAGTGGTGCAGTTCGCATGGCGCCGCCGCCCTATTTTGGCACTTCCCTTACACGTTTCGTGGCCCCATAGGGAGCTCCACTCAAGGTCCCAGTGGTGCACTTCGCATGGCGGCGCCGTCCCATTTTGGCACGCCCCTCACACGTTTCGTGGCCCCATAGGGAGCTCCACTTAAGGTCCCAGTTGCGCAGTTCGCATGGCAGCGCCGCTCCAGTTCGGCACTCCCCTCGCACGCTTCGTGGCCCCGTAGGAGCTTCACCTATGGTCGCACTGGCGCAGTTCGCATGGCGGCGCCGCCCCATTTTGGCACACCCCTCGCACGTTTCGTGGCCCCAGAGGGGACTTCTACCTCAGGTCCCAGAGGCGCAGTTCGCATGGCGGCGCCGCCCCATTTTGGCACACCACTCAAACGTTTCGTGGCCCCACAGGGAGCTCCACCGAAGGTCCCAGTTGCGCAGTCGGCGCCTCTCCATTTTGGGACACCCCGCACACGTTTTCGTTGCCCCACAGGGAGCTCCACCTAAGGTCCCAGTGGCGCAGTTCGCGTGGCGGCGCCGCCTCATTTCGGCACACCCTCACACGTATCGTGGCCCCATAGGAAGCTCCACCGAAGGTCCCAGTGGGTGTGCCCGCATGCGTCACCCACACCCACGTCGTCACACCCCTCACACGTTTCGCGGCCCCATAGGGAGCTCCAACGAAGGCCCCGGTGCCACCGCCCGCATGCGTCACCCACGCCCATTTCGGCACACCCCTCACGGGCTTCGTTGCCCCATAGGGAGCTCCACCGAAGGCGCCAGTGGCTGCGTTCGCATGCGCCCACCGCGCCCATTTCGGCACACCACTCACACGTTTCGCGGCCCCATCAGGAGCTCCACCGACGGCCCCAGTGGCTGCGGTCGCATGCGCCCACCGCACCTATTTCGGCACACCTCTCACGCGTTTCGTGGCCCCATAGGGAATTCCATCGACGGCCCCAGTGGCTGCTTTCGCATGCGCCCACTGGGCAAATTTTGGCACACCCCTCACACGTTTCGTGGCCCTATAGGGAGCTCCTCCGATCGCGGAGCATACAACGACGGTGCTCGCAACTGCATACGGTTGGGTCTTTCGCCAGGATAATTGTTTGCCATTTGTGGCCTCCAGGGGCCCTCGCCGGGCGGCGAGCCGTGAACATACGATTCGGGATGAAAACCTTGCCTTGGGAAAGGGTTGGGACTTGCGGGGGCCCCGTATTGAAATGATCAAGGCGTCGCATGTCTGGGGTGCTTCCTCGGGCGGCAACGACGGGGGCGAATAGCCGCATTCCCAAAAAGGTCTCGGTGTTTTCGCCCGGTCTTCGGGCCCCGGGGCTCTCACAGATCGAGGTTTCGCTAGGGATTGGGGGGTCTCTTGGGGCCGTCTTTGGGCCCTGGGGGCCCTCGTGGGGCGATTTGGAGGCCGTCGATCAACAAAAACGAGAGGGGCGCATTGGCATCCCCTTTCGGATGCCCCAAAATGGCCTCCCAGGGCTCCCTTGGGCCGCTCTTGGGTCGCTCTTGGGCGCTCCATGGCCCCTCTTGGGCCTGTCCTGGGCTCGTCTTGGGGCTCATGTGGGCTGTTCTGGAACCATCTGGAGGCCTCGGAAGCCCATCGGCAGCAAATATTGATTTCCGCTTGGTTCTGGAAGGTGTGTTTCCTCTCGGGAGAGTCCTTTTGGGGCTCTGTGGAGCCATCGTAGGGCAGTCTTGGAGCCGCCTTGCAAGCATGTTGGGAGCAAAATTGTGCCCCCGAGGTCTATCTTGAGCGATCTTGGAGGTCATCTTGACCTCTCTTGACCTCTCTTTGGGCGCTTCGTCGCCTCGCGGCCCAGCCCGTCCAGGTCCAGGGACAGGGGATAGGGGGAGGGGCCAACACTCCCCCGAAGGGGAAGAATCGGGGCTTGAACAGGACTGGCGATCTAAACCACCTATGCCCGGAGGGCTGGTGGTACTTGTCCCCTTGTTGGCCCCAGATGGCCTTTGGCGCCCTGGGGAACGTGTCCTGCGAACGAACGGGGGGCCGTTTGGCCATGCTGCCCCAGTGTGGGTCGGGGCTGTCTGGGGCCTGCGCGCGTCTCTTTGGGGTGCCTCTGGGGGGGCGTGTGCTCCGTCGGCGCAAGCGCAAGAGGCCACGGCGATGGTCGGGTTGTCCTCCGTTGGGCACTCGCGGGCCATCCCGCTGCGTATCCGCGATCCTGCATCGGCTCTTCGCGCGTTCGGGCCCTTGCGCATTTCCGCGCCTGTGCTTGCGCGCGGACGCAGCGCACGCAGACCCTGGAACGCTTGGCGCGGGCTGTGGGCGCCAAGCCGCGTGGAACCACGTGGCGGCGTCCGTATTCGAGCGGGAGGGAGTGTCATTTGGAATGTTGGAGGAGCTTCGGCCAATGGGGTGATCCGACGTTTGTTTTTCCCTCAAACTCATCCTTTCTTCTGGGCGCTGAGGGCTTGAGTTCAGACGTCGCGATGAGTGTTTTCTCAACCACCCTGCGGTGCTGGGTCCTCGTTTTTCCCAACCATCCTGTGGTGTTGGGTCCTCGTTTTGAAGAGACGGTCCCCGCGTCCTCCTCTCCTCCTCTCCTCTCCTCCTCCTCCTCCCCCTCCTCCTCCCACTCCTCCTCCCACCATCATCATCGTCATCACCCATTTCGGCACATCCCTCACACGTTCCGCGGCCCCATTGGGAGTTCCACCGAAGGTCCCAGTGGGTGTGCCCGCATGCGTCCCGCACACCCATTTCGGCACACCCCTCACAAGTTTCGTGGCTCCATAGGGGGCTCCACCGAAGGTCCCAGTGGGTGTGCCCGCATGCGTCCCGCACACACATTTCGGCACACCCGTCACACGATCCGCGGCCCCAGAGGGAGCTCCCCCGAAGGTCCCAGTGGGTGTGCCCGCATGCGTCCTGCACACCCATTTTGGCACACCCTTCACACGTTTCGTGGCCCCATAGGGAGCTCCACCGAAGGTCCCAGTGGGTGTGCCCGCATGCGTCCCGCACACCCATTTCGGCACACCCCTCACACGTTCGTGGCCCCATAGGGAGCTCCACCGAAGGTCTCAGTGGGTGTGCCCGCATGCGTCCCACACCCATTTGGCCACCCCTCACACGTTTCGTGGCCCCATAGGGAGCTCCACCGAAGGTCCCAGTGGGTGTGCCCGCATGCGTCCCGCACACCCATTTCGGCCCACCCTCACGTTTCGTGGCCCCATAGGGAGCTCCACCGAAGGTCCCAGTGGGTGTGCCCGCATGCGTTTCGGCGCACACGTGGCCCCACTCCACCGGAGGTCCAGGGGTGTGCCCGCATGCGTCCCACACCATTTCGGCACACCCCTCACACGTTTCGTGGCCCCATAGGGAGCTCCACCGAAGGTCCCAGTGGGTGTGCCCGCATGCGTCCCGCACACCCATTTCGGTACACCCCTCACACGTTTCGTGGCCCCATTGGGAGTTCCACCGAAGGTCCCCATGGGTGTGCCCGCATGCGTCCCGCACACCCATTTCGGCACACACCTCACACGTTTCGTGGCGGGAGCTCCACCGAAGGTCCCAGTGGCAAGTCCGCGTGCGTCCCGCACACCCGTTTCGGCACACCCCTTCACACGTTTCGTGGCCCATAGGAAGCTCCACCGAAGGTCCCAGTGGGTGTGCCTGCATGCGTCCCGCACACCCATTTCGGCACACCCTTCACACGTTTCGTGGCCCCATAGGGAGCTCCACCGAAGGTCCCAGTGGGTGTGCCCGCATGCGTCCCGCACACCCATTTCGGCACACCCCTCACACGTTTCGTGGCCCCATAGGGAGCTCCACCGGAGGTCCCAGTGGGTGTGCCCACATGCGTCCCGCACACCCATTTCGGCACACGCCTCACAAGTTTCGTGGCCCCACAGGAGCTCCACCGAAGGTCCCAGTGGGTGTGCCCGCATGCGTCCCGCACACCCATTTCCGGCACACCCCTCACACGTTTCGTGGTCCCATAGGAGCTCAGCCGAAGGTCCCTGTGGGACAGTCCGCATGTGCCCCGCACAACCATTTCGGCACACCCCTCACACGTTTCGTGGCCCCATAGGGGCTGCGCCGAAGGCCCTTGTGGGACAGTCCGCATGCGTCCCCGCACACCAATTTCGGCACACCCCTCGTTTCGTGGCCCCACAGGAGCTCCGCCGAAGGTCTCCGTGGCACAGTCCGCATGCGTCCCTGCCATTCATTTCGGCACACCCCTTCACATGTTTCGTGGCCCCAGAGGAGCTCCACCGAAGGTCCCAGTGGCACAGTCCGCATGGGTCCCCGCCACTCTTTTCGGCACACCCCTCACACGTTTCGTGGCGCCACGAGTTCCGCCAAAGGTCTCCGTTGCACAATCCACATGCGTCCCCGCCACTCATTTCGGCACACCGCGCACACGCTTCGTGGCCCCATAGGAGCTCCGCCGAAGGTCTCCGTGGCACAGTCCGCATGCGTCCCCCGCCATTCATGTCGGCACCCCCCTTACACGTTTCGTGGCCCCACAGGAGCTCCACCGAAGGTCCCAGTGACACAGTCCGCATGCGTTCCGGCCATCCATTTCGGCCAACCTTTCACACTTTTCGTGGCCCCATAGGAACTCCACCGAAGGTCTCCGTGGCGCAGTCCGCATGCGTCCCGCACACCCATTTCGGCACACCCCTCACACGTTTCGTGGCCCCATAGGAGCTCCGCCGAAGGTCCCCGTGGCACAGTCCGCATGCGTCCCGCACACCCACTT